TTATTGTAGAGATACCTTGTGTACATCATTGTATTCATTGTATTGATGATTGATTTGACTATTGATTGTATTGATGATTGATTTTGACTATTGATTGTATTGATGATTGATTTGACTATTAATCAATAAAGCCATGACAAAAACTGCCAATCATTCTTCATCTTTTTTGTCGACATAATCCGACTTAACTCAATATGAGTTAAGTCCTGTTATGGAGACAAATAGAGATAAAAAGTTCAGGGAAGATAACTCTCACTCAGATGCACTGACTTCATTTAGCCACATCCATTACGCATGTGCATTTGCTCTTCCTTTCCATCTTCCGTCATCCATTGAAGCTCAGCATCCCACCCACCTCTCCCAATTTACAAGATTTTGATGAATTGTCCTTTTGTGTCAACAAAATGTTGCTGCTGTCTTTGATTTCCTTTTTCAGTCAAAATCCATTCTCTTGGCTACCAGCGGAAGAATCGATTACATCCATTCCTTTGGCCAACAGCAGAAGAATCCATTACATTCATTTCCTTGACCTCAAGCAGAAGAATCCATTTCTGCCGTTCCCTTGGCTACCAGCGATAGGATCCATAACTTCCATTCCCTTGGATACCAAAAGAACCTGTTAGCGTCATGGCTTTATTACGTCTCATTGAAATGCAAAGTATATGGTCTTCTTACAGACTGTTTTTTAATGCTGAATCGAATTTTGCTAGAAGCTCGCTGCTGATCCTGTTATCTTCCAGGGCCAGTGGCCAATAACTGAGCTTCCGTCATTGTGCCATTGCTATTGATTCTACGTCATATACTATTGATAAAGTCGACGTAGACCATTGTCTTTGTAATACATTGCTACCTGCTCATTGCAATTCATTTATCATTGAATATCATTGTATATCATTGAATATCATTGCATATTATTGCATAACATTGCATATCATTGAATATCATTGTACCCATAGTGTAAATACATGTATACACTTTGCGTACATCATTGATTGAATATCATTGTTTATCATTGAATATCATTGTACCCATTGTGTATTAATTATTCAATATACACTTTGTGTACATCATTGAATTGATACTTTATGTACATCATTGTAGAGATACCTTGTGTACATCATTGTATTCATTGTATTGATGATTGATTTGACTATTGATTGTATTGATGATTGATTTTGACTATTGATTGTATTGATGATTGATTTGACTATTAATCAATAAAGCCATGACAAAAACTGCCAATCATTCTTCATCTATTTTGTCGACATAATCTGATAGCTTATGATTGCCAAAAAAAGAAAGACAAACGAATTTTAATAGGTAAATACTTTTTTTAATATATGTAGTAAAACTTGGTTATAAGGAAGTAACTAGGACCCATGGAATAATTTCAATTTATCCATAAATTGCACTATCCATTTATCAGAAATTCGTTAAATAAAAATAGCTGGGGATGCAAGATAAAGTTGCTATATCCTAGAATTCGCAATACCCGTGTTCGTACTGATCGAGTTTTACTGTATCTCACTTTTACGTGTAAAGTATGACAAAACTCGATTCTAATGAAATCGTATGAATTGAGATCAAGTGTGGCAGTAGGATACTGCACGGAAATGATCCTTCACTCCTCAAAGGCCGTAGACCGAATACAGGTCAAAATTTACAACCCTAAATCGACAGGTAATGGCGTCTCAATTTGAGTGAAAATTCGTGAAGAGATCTAGAGCAAAACAAAAAATCATTTTATGAAAAAAATAACATGCATAAAATTTATTTTATACCTAATATAAATAAACACTACAAAAATAGAATCTGATTGGGTAAGAAGATCATGTGACAGTCGTGTTTTCACTGCAACAAAATGCCGTCTTCCACCTCTTCGGATATCAATTCTCACATTGTGTTTTAAATTAAATTAAAACTTTTGTCTTTTGCAATGAAATTTATACTGTAACTCACTTTGCTCCCGCCTCAAACTAAAATGTCCCCACCCCCAATCCGACACACCCAACAAAGGAAGTCCCGAAAACACGTCAATGGTGATGAGTAAATACTTTTTATCATAATTATCCTCTAGTGCAAAAAAACGTTTATTTCGGTTATTAACCAATGGGAAGGCTACACCTGTGGAGTTTTTCCTGTTTGTCTTAAACTCTTATTTCTGCGGACATTGAGAGTTGTAGTTTGATAACAGACAAACGTAGTTTACATTTCCCTTCATTCAAGTAATAATATTTTTATGACTAAAGTATCAGTCAAATTATCCAGCGATGGGGTATACGATGAGAAACCGATGCGTTTTTTGATGAAAATGGCGTGGTTGCCAGCCGGGCACCACTAGTGATCGGAAGGTGACTGAGGTCATTTTGCGAATCGTTAGGGTCATCGGTAGGACATAATTCGTAGTTAAAATTCAGCGATGTCTCCAATGATGCCACACATCGCTCCTCATCGGCAACCCATCATTGACACATCTTACACGGATCGGCTGATGTATGGCCGAGCATCGTCCAATATCCGTTGAATCTGAGGTCATCGGGAGGTTGAGTGTCGTCCAACAGATAACGGCCGATCATCGGTCGATGTTCGACCAAACATTGGCCCGTAGTCAACCGATGTTCGAACGATGTTCACCAATGTATGAGTGATGTAATATACATCGGCCTATTATCCTGGAACATCGTTTTATGATTAGCAATGCTTCGCTGGGCCTTGGAAAGTCCGTCCGGCAACAACGACATTTTTATCATAAAAGGCATTGGTTGCCCATCGAATACCCATCGCTGGATAATGTGACTGATACTTTTAGGACTACTAGGCCGATGTGCACCGATGTAAGGGCATCGTTAACATCACGGATTACCAACGATTACCACCGGTCTACGGCTACCGGCCGGGAAATGTGACCTAGGCATAAGGAAGCCTATGAAATTTTTTCACATCAACGTTTACTTTGAATAATGTAAGCAAATTTTAAATTTATTTTATACATGTATGTTCTACGAGTGATAATATTTTGATATTATATCTTGTTGCTAATTTCTTAAGTTATGTAAATATGTTGATACTTGTGTAAGATATCGATCTTTACTTTTCTAGCATGCAATTTTTTATTTGTTTAAAGGGCTCCTATACTAGATCGAAAGTCTGACATAAAAGAAATCACAGCTGAACATTCCACCGTAGTGATTGTATAGGAGATTCGATCGACCACTATTCTTCTTATCGGAAAACGCTCATTACTCAATGTATTGTGAGGAATATCGTCTTTAAAACAAAATATTAGAATGACCGTTTAGGGATGCCTTACCTTTATTTACAAAAAAGTTGGGTGGGGTAGAACCTATTTCCTATTCATCAAATGGAACTATTTAGATTTTAGTTAAATTATGGATATTGTCCTAAGTTATTATACAGGTAAGCAGGCCATAATACTTTTTACAGGACGACGTTGATTGCAAATTTTTACCGCTACTTGTCAGGTGTTTATATTGATTTGTCTGATTTTTTATCGATTTACGTACCGCTCCATGTATTCATGTCGACTAAACAGATATTAATGCTAACTTACTATTATTAATGTTAATAGCTAATAAATTTTAGTAGTGTTATTTCGTCAAATAATGACTATCATGAAAAAGAACAAGGATTCTTGTTTATAAAGCGTGTAAAAATAACAATGTTAATTACATTAGTTGCTTCAGCAAGAAGGATTAAAATAAACAAATCATTATTTTAAATGTTATGTATTGGTCCGATAAAGTTTTAACTTATGCGAATTTAATTGGTGCTTAAAGGTATCTTATTGGTGGCTTAAAGTTGTGAATACTATTTTATCAAATTGTTAATTAAGTAATAATTACTGATACGCTAATAAAAAACGATAGAAAAATCGTTGAATTACGACGGAAGGGTTACAAATAGGGTGGATAAAAGACAAAAGGCGTATTCTGCATTGAAGCATAAAAGATCAAATTTATATTTATATTAGGTAGAAAATATATACAAAGACGTGGTACAGGAATCTCAGAATTGCAAAAAAGATGAAAAATAGGAATAGTTAATTAAAACCAAAAACAGGAATTCAATAAAGTAAAGGTGAAAACATGAACAAAAAATAATTCAGATTATTGTGTTTTTTCAAGATTGTAGCGCCAAAACAATACGATTAGAAGAGGAAAATAGAAAGTGTAATAAACCAGGAGCATATGTAGGCCTAATTGTTAATCATGCATACAGCTATTTACACACAAACAGTTATCAATGGATTCAGATGTCCACAGACAGTTGACAGTTGAAAGTTCCAAAATGTTCTCAGTGTGAAGGGGACGTATTTTACTATTGTAAAACATGCAAAGAAGATGTGTGTTCTTTGCAAGGAGAAAAATATGATAGACCTTGATTCCAAATATCACGAGGTAGTGATTGACCGTTTAAAGTATGGGGACTTCAGGATACCAAATTCCTGTGACAAGCACCAAAACAAATACGTAAACAAATGGTGTTTCTCATGTAATTTTCCAATCTGTGCCGAGTGTTATGAGCACCGAAATCATGACAATTTGGATATTGTCTCAGCTTATAAAATGTGCAGACACCAACACATAGACAGGATAGCTTACATAAGAACTGATATTATCTTCAATAATCTTGCTCTTCTTCAACAAATAAAATGCGATGTTAAAATGAGCAAGGAAATTTGTCAATCCATTTTATCTGGTCTCCAGCAAAGCATGACAACAAGAACTATGAGACTGAAGAATCTGGCTGGTGTAGTAGTAAATGATATCAATGAATTAAAACAATTAAAACGGTCACTCACATCTAAATTAAAAGAACCAAAAAGAAAAATTACGAACACAGAAATATTTTTATAAAAGTTAGAAACAGTGTTAGACAAGCCTATACATTTCCTTATGTTTCTAAAGAAAACCCCTATCCCAAGATTAACGAGCATTCTTGACACATTTCCATTCTCCCTGAACTGTAAAATCAACCGAATGGATGTGATTAAGTTACTAGGAGAAATCCAAATCACAGAGTCAAAAAATCGGCATGTCAGAAATGAACAGCTTCTTGAACCAATGTGTGTACCTGTGTTACGGAGATCTTTCACAGTGATGGGTGATAATGAGATTCGCCATATCTCCTGTGTGACAACAGACATGGTATGGATCAATGATCAATCTGGACGTATCATCTTGACAAATCCGAATGGTGAACATCTACATATTTTTAAAGATACAAATAGTTATACTGGAGGACACTCCATGACTCTTGAAGGGAATCTGATTTACATAGACAGATTTAATAACGTCAACCAATTGTCAACAGACAACATAATTACACTCATAAAGATAGCAGAATCGTGGAAAGCAAAGTGTGTGTACTGTTCTCCCTCTAATGGAGATCTTTTGGTCGGGATGAATGTATACTATTTTGATCAAGATAAAATGTTTATAGAGGCCAAAGTTATGCGATATAACAGTACAAAACAACAAATCCAGTTCATTGAAAACTGTAACACTCGTCAGAAACTGTATATATTTCCTAAATACATCACAGAGAACCACAATGGAGATGTTATTGTTTCTGACTTGAACCATGGTATAGTAGTAACAGATCGTGAAGGAAAACATCGCTTCTTCTACACAGGACCTTCTTCAGGACCACGACTATCACCACGGGGAGTGTGTGTGGATGCAATTTCGAACATCCTGGTGTGTGATATTAAAAGTAAAACAATTCAAATGATTGACAAAGACGGTCACTTTTTTTATCACTGTTGTTCACCAATCAAAACAAAATCAATGTATCAGGAGGTCTGGATTATGACCACAGAAATCACCTTCTTTTAGTTGGAACAAAGGATCATAACAGCAGAGTGGATGTCTACAGATACATAAAGAGAAAAGACTATCTCACACACGATCAACATGACTAGATAAGAAAATACAGATTTTTTTTTCATTTTGCTAGCTCATATGTGTACATTACATTGCTTATATAAAAAGACATCTCTTGTCAAATTTGCTTTCACATGGCAACATAACAAGTACCTTTTCTAACCCTCTACCTTCCTTCACATCAATCCAGCAATTGATTAACTTTATAGGAAGTCATTTCTCTTAATAAAATGTGTATACAAATTATATCGAGCAATACTCATACGGTTTTTGAAATACGATGTATGAATACTAACTGCTTAATTCTGCGTGCTTACGTTTTTACTTTCCAACATTCTCAATGTCATTTTTTTTCTAGCAATGTGTCATTTTTCATGTCAAAGGGCAAGCATTGTATATAAGAAATGACCCTTTAACAAATTGAATTACAGTCTGGGTCCAAATAGCATTATGATATTTTATCTCCGCTTTGTAATTGAAAATTTTTATATTTTGTAAAAAAAAAAAACGATTCTTCATTAGTTTGAGTTAGGTTGCCGATTTTTTACACCATGTCAAATTCAAATATTTCATTAGCTTAGAAAAGTTTATTCAAAATCACCATTTGCAAGTTCTATGCTACATAAATTAACCTTGTGAACATATACAACTTATCATCAAGTCAAATGATTACTGTCCTTTTAATACTAATTATTTACAAACATAATTGACGACAAAGTTTTCTGTTATTTCCCGATCATGAAAAGGAGCACAAGGGCGGATGTGGCCGATCGGCAGATGATGCTCACTCCCTAATGATACCTGTTCCCAATTTTTGATGTTTGGAGGTCCGTTTTTGCTCTTCTCCGATTTAGTTTTTTTTTTTTTTTTTTCTTCTTTTTTTTTGAATTTTGAGCTTTAATACGAGGAAAGATCAAATAGTTCGCGAAATATCTCTATATTTACAAAACCACGATTAAGATCAGAATGAAATTTGGCACACATATATATAATTAAACAATCGTAATTACTTTTATTTGTTTTGATGCCTGTAAGGAGACTTTGGTACTATGACGTCGCCAGAGGACTGATTATGATAAAGCTTTATTAATGTTTGTTTGCATCAAAAATGTTCACTATAGGATTGACTATATAAATTATTTTGTTGAGGGAAAAACGCATCTAAAAATGAATCGCAAATTTTATGAATGCCGAGGTGCTTTTTAAGGAGAAATATTGAATAGATCTCGACACACAATATCACGATAAAATAATTGACTGTTTTAAGTATGGCGACGTCATAGTACCAAAGTCTTCTTACAGGCATCAAAACGAATAAGTAAATGATCAATGTCCCTAATTGAAATTTCCAATCGGTTTCGAGTGTGATATGAATCGAATTCATAAAATTTATGACATTGTAGCAGCTTATAAGATGTTGACACAAAAACTCAAAGAAAAAATCATTCTGATCAGATTCGAATTTATCCCATATAATATCCTCACTCTTGAAAGTCTTAAATCCGATGACAAAAGGAACGGAAAATTTCTCAATCTAGAAAGGCCTCCGGCGAAGCATGAAAAAAAAAATATATCATAAAAAATCATCAACTTAGAATTTTTTCTATACAATTTCGAATAGTTTTTAGACAAGGCAGGACAACTCAATACTCTAGTGTTTCAAGGAAATTTAAATCACAATGGTAAGGAGCATTCTGGGTACCTTTTATTTCTTCCTGAATGGCTCAATCGTCAGATGGAAATAAATCTTTAGATGTAATCCAAATAGCAAAGAAAGAAATGCGTAAAGTAAAAATTGAGCAGATGCTGGAACTGATGAATGCGCCATTTTTACAGAAGTCGAACACAGTAATCCGTGCAATTGTAATTCTAAGAGAGCATCACATTAGGATCCGACTCCAATGGTATCGTCACTATCAATGCTAGGATGATCGCCAATGGAACCACGTAATGTTCTCAGATGAGTCGAGGTTCCCTGTGAACTCTGTGGACAGACGCAGGAGTACTTGACGTAATGAACGATGTAATGAACATTTCCATAACATTAACATCAATAGACATGATCGGTATGGGGATAGATCTGATATGGTATCACTGTTGCCAGCAGAACATACATGTAGATTGTTGCTAGACGTATCACAGGGTAATACTAAATCTTGGAAATTTTGAATTTAAGTCATTTTCCTGAAGTCAAATTTTAGGACAGGGCGTCATGGTTGATGAAAATATTGAATGAAATATATGAAGATAACGAAAAGCATTCTCGCTGAAAAGTCCATAAAACAATGCAAAATATACAAAATAGGAGCAGAGCAAAGACCAACATCATAGGTGGGATCAGGCGTCATCGAAATAGAAAGCATCTTCTCCTGGGCTGAAGAACAGCAGTGTATATATCTAAAGATACAAACAGAAAAAAGACTACCTCAAAACGATTCTCTTGATTAATTCATGTTTGGTCATGATCTGATAGATTATGATTATATTTTTTATAAGATATAGAGTAAAACTCGGTTTTAACGAAGTCACTGGGACCTATGAAATAACTTCACTATGTCCATAATTCGTTATATCCATATAAGAAATTCGTTAAATTAAAATAAGTGGGGGTCCAAGATAACTTTGTTATATCCGTTAATTCGCAATATCCATGTTCGTACTGAGCAAGCTTTACTGTACTAAACTTTGACGTGTAAATTATGTCAAGTTTTGAATCCCAATGCAGAAATTCGAAATTTGTTCCTTCGGATGAGATCGTTCTAATCAAAGTTTCGTGTGGCAGTAGGTTACGGCATGGAGAAGATCCAACACTGCTCCAAAGCCGTACAACGAACACAGGTAAACATTTATAGCCCTTCATCGACAGGTAATGGCGTCTCAATTTGAGTGAGAGATTGTGAAGTGACCTGAAGCAAACAAACAAACAAAAATAAAATCACTATATGAAAACAATTACATGCTTAAAATTTGTTATTATACCTCACATTAATAATCACCACAAAAATAGTATCTGAATGGGTGAGAAGATCACATGACAGTCGTGTTTTCCCTGCAACAAAACATCGTATTCCACCCCGTCGGATATCAATTTTCACATTCTGTTTTTATGTAAAACTTTCGTCTTTTGCGATGAAATTTTATTATACCTTAACTCGCTATGGTTCGCCACTACTTAAATTGTTCCGTCCCCACCCCCACCACGACACATCCAACAAAGGGTGTCTCGAAAACACGTCAATGGCGATGAGTAAATACTTTTTATCATCATTATCCTCTAGTGCAGAAAAATCCCACAGAAAATATTTTGCATATTTCGGTAAATAAACATAGAACGTCTATACCACGAGAGTTTAGCCTTAGTTTGTCTTAAAATCTTATTCGCAGCACAGTTAAGGTTACAATAGGGAGGCGAGCCTTTGTACGGAAAATATTACTATGACGTCACACAACATAAAAGGTCTTCAAAATACCACAAAATGAAAATATTTGCTATTTCAAACTGCTGGATAGCTGTAGACTACATAAAAACTTACTATTACATGCAGTTTTGTCGTCTGTTTCCACACAACAATAGATAGTTTTCGATTGACCTAAATTTAGCAAAACACCCATTCTCAATATAAGGGCTCAAATGATGTCGCCTCATTTTCATTTAAAAGAAATACAACTGATGTAACTTTTAAATCAACATTATAAATAGTCATATAACAATGAATAAGAATTCATATAATTATCGATCTGAAAGGGTATTTAAGGTGCTCCAAATTCAAATATAGTAGCCTATTTGAAATGTACGTTACTGTCGCCGAGGCAAATATTATTCTGAATCCCCTCTGTGTAATATATAGTTTTGATTCTCAAGTAAAAATTTTCTGATAAGTTAAACCTTGTATCATACATATTTCTTTTCATAACAATAAATACATTTTCTTTGTGATAATAAATAATTTTTATTGTGCAATGTCCCTGTCGCTTAATTCTATTTCAACCATATTACAAGCAAACACAAAGATTATACACCTGATAGTTTTGTTCTCCTTTATTTATTGATGGGCTAAATTTGAAATTTCAAATGATTAATTACTCCTACATAGATAATGTAACATGAAATTGAACAACTTGAGCAACTTTTATAAATATGTTTACGGAATGAAAGACATTTTCAATCGTAGAGATAAGAAAGAAATGTACGTTACCTATATTCTTCCATTAAGAATACATATTAAGTAGAAAATATGAGACGACTCTGAATAAGCAACCCCTTGTATCCTGTAAACTGGCAAAGACGTTTTGCTTAACACAATTAAAAATTATTTTTTACATGAAAAGTGATCATTTGAAATGTTCGTGACTGAAATGTACGTTACCATGAAATTCGAATTAAGTGAATCTCGCACGAATTTTCATGTTTTCTAATACTTTCACACACTCGAATGTGAACACAAAGGAAAGTTTCAAAGGTTGGAGGTCGGCTAAATCCCAAAATCAATGAAAAGAAACGTCTCTGCTGAGGAAAAAAATATATTAAGGTCAATTATTATGTAATATAATTTTGATACCTGGTATATATTTCTGAATACGAAACCTGTATGATGCATTTCTTATGATATGCAGGTTCAAATAGTATCAATATATTGCGCGTCTAACGTATGCTTGTGGGAGAGAATTGATTTTTATATTTGAAATGTACGTTACGTATGGTAACGTACATTTTATGTATTTCTAACTGACATTTTTTTAATTTAGTCAATGAATTGCGTTTACACGAGCGAAACAAAATTATCGTTACAATCCATTTGACAACTGGCCACATCTAAATGCACCTCAATCGTCGTAAATGTTTTAAACTGTTACCACATGCTGTCTTAAAGTGTCTTAAATTCATCTTTGGCAACCTTTTTGCAGTTTGTTTACTTTTCATGTGCGATTTTTCGTCAATATTAATTGAATTG